ACACACACACACACACACACACACACACACACACACACACACACACACGTCCACGTCCACATGTATACGCATACTTGCCCATAATTCACCATCCCAGCCCCGAGCCAGGCTCTGAGTGCTGGTGCTGCCCAGGCCAGTGGCCTGCCTACCTGGAACACGATCCGTGACTTCTCCAGCAGGTACTGAGAGGTTATGGCACCAGAGATCACACCCCTAGGGAAGCACGATCCGGTCTTGGGGACTGAGGTGACCACTCAGCCCTGGGTGTTGCTGTGGGCCACAGAGGGCTCTTGAGGTCTCTGGGCATCCGCCACAGCCCTACTCACCCTTCTAGAAAGATTTCCACAAACTTCCCAAAGCGGCTGGAGTTGTCATTCCTGACGGTTTTGGCATTACCAAAGGCCTCCAGGAGAGGGGTTGCCTCCAGGATCTAGACCAGGATGGAGAGGGTGGGAAGAGATGGGCACTGGGCTCAGGGCATGACGCTAGATGCTCAAACAGAGGCCGGAGAGGTGACTTGAAGGAGATTCCTTACAGAACTACAGTCTCCTCTCTGTCCCTTGCGGCCCCGCCCCATGCTTAGCTCCAATCCCTGTGCTCCCTCCCCAACCATCCTGCCGGTGGTCCAGACACACACCCGACATACCTTTATCTTCAGAGATGTTGGTGAAGCCGGAGCGGGAATGAGAGACAACAAAAGTGGTTCACTAACAAGACCAGACACCTCTCCCTCCAGGAAGCCAGGAGCCTTGGGCTGTGGAGAAACTGGTGGGCCTTTTTAGGTCCCTGTTGCAAATCCTGTGAGCCTCCAAGACCCCAGGTCAAGGGGCTAAAGCATGGCCTGGGGTTGCAGCCTGCAGCCAGTGTGCCTGCAACAGGGCTCAGCGATGCCCTGTTCTTTCTACCCCCAGCTGACTCCTGCTATCCATCTTCCAGTTTTCTCTTGGACATTTCCTTGCTCTTATCTCTCCTGTTAGCTCAGCGCAGTCTGGAACCCACCCCATTCTGTGGTGCCTACCTTATCAGGGCTAACAACAGTCCTGCAAGCCCAGCCCTTGTCTCATTGCTCCTCCCCCTTCAGTGTGTCCCAACTGCTTCATCAGTCCCCCTACATCCATCCCTGTCTCAGGACAGCGGCACCTGCTGGTCTGTGTGCCTGGAAGCGCCTGCAGGCTTCTCCTCTTTCAGGGAGCTCCGCAGGCTCAAGGTACTCAGCGCTTCAGCAGATACTTTTCCCTGGTATTATCTGTGTCCCTATAGGCTGTCAGCTCTGTGGATGAGCAGGTATCTGTCTCTTTGCACACCTGAGTCCCTGTCTCTGTATGGGGCTAATGGATACACAGCAGGTCCTCAAAAAATTCTCTAAATGGTTTGTAAAAACAAGGAGAGTGGGGTTGGGGATTTAGCTCAGTGGTAGAGCGCTTGCCTAGCAAGTGCAAGGCCCTGGGTTCGGTCCTCAGCTCTGGAAAACAAACAAACAAACAAAAAACAAACAAGGAGAGCAGAGCCACCCAGGGTGACCATAGCTAACGGTGGCAGCCACCTATAAGTACCTACTGTGTCCCGGACATTTTGCCTTGACACTTACTCTGCTTTTTTTTTTTTTTTTTTTTCCAGTGCTCGCTATGAACTGCAAGGCCTCACACAGGCTAGGGAAATGCTCTGCCATATCCCCAACCTTTTAGTTATTATTATTTTAGTTTGAGACAGAATCTCACTATTTAGCCCAGGCAAGCCTTGGGTTCACGACCCACCTATCTCAGCTTTTCCAGTACCTGGGACAGTAGGTCTGTGACACCACACCCTAATTTTTGTTCACACAAGTACCCTGTACTTCTGTACATAGGTGCTAACATTATTGATGTCTCAGACTCAGAAACCAGGATGTAGAGAGGTGCTGAAGGATGCCCATGGCCTCCAAGAAGAGTGGGTTCCCAGGGTGCCTGGCGAACACACACACTGTATGCATAAGTATATTACATATTAATTAGTATTATGCAATAATTAATAGCCAGGCGTTGTCTCTGGTTAAGTCACATCTTCAGGAAGAAGTTTTGGGGAGAAGGGGGCCCAGTTCCCACAGACATGACACCTGGAACCTCGGGGTGGTGGCAGTGCTGATCTGTTCACATCCACCTCAGTCAAGTACCTGCAGAGCTCCCGACAGAGAGCAGCAGAGGGCGGGGCTGCCTGCAGTTGCTCAGGGTCAAGTTCAGCAGGGCATTGTTCTATACTGTCTTTTAGTCTGGGAGTCCCTGGAAGGTTCCAGAGGCTGCATGGCCTCTTCTCTGCTCCTGGTGCCCAGCGCAGGACAGGATATGAAGCCAGAAAACTGGGGTTGGGGGGGCATCACATGGGCTAGGGTGGATAAACATTGGAAGGCGGAGAAAGACCGGTTCCAGTGAAGACGAGTGAGCAAAGCTATTCCACGAGACGGACTTTCTGAAATGAAGGAGGTACCACAACACCATTTTGCCGGCCAGAATGTATGGGGCGCGCCCATTGGTAAGACCCTAGATCCAGCCATGCCTAAAACTGACCCTAGATCTGACCTGTCCACTGGCCTCATGCTGTGTGCCTGGCCCAGAAACTCAGACCCATGTCACACATCCTCACTTGTCTCCTCCGCACCTGTTGCCATGGAATGTAAATCCCTGCCCTGTTACCTCATTTGGGAAGGGTGGCCCGCTGGGCAAGTAATTTCTCTTCCCAGGCTTCAGCTTCCCAATCTGTAAGTCATCACAGACGCCATTTCCCAGGGAGGCTAAGGGGCTCTGTGGGGGCATACGGAAGACACCTGGCCCAAGGAGGCGCTCATGGAACCCCCTTCTCTCCCAGCCGTGTAGAAGAAACTGAAAACTGCCTAGAGAGGAGAGGGCCTGGGTCGACCACCAAGAGGTCCTGCAGCATTGTAGCCATTTGCTAACTCCTGTGGACCTAGGGCTGGGGATTTTGAGAGCTTGTGTTTTCCTGGACACCGAGCTTTACCCGCCCCCGAGCCCTGGGTTCCCATCGTTTCTGAGTAGACACCTGCTGGGCACCTTTCCCCAGCAGTTCCTCTTCACCTGTGCTGCCCGTGGTCACTCTTGGTTTAGTCCTCTTCACGATGTGGCCTGGTCCTTCAGTCAAGTCCAAGGCTGGCTTTGCCTTGACCCTGAATGCATCCTTGCATACCGACACCCCAGTCACCAGCACTTGGGCCCCTGGCTTCTCTGAGCTGGGAGTCCTTGTTGTCATTCTGATGTCCCGTGGGATCCCTAGGCCTGCTTGCACCTTTGCACAAGATTTTTCCTTGGTCTCCTCACTCTTCTCAGACCTGCTCAGGGCCTCATCACTGCATCGTGCTTATAACGATGCCCCCTAGCTCTCTTCCTTTTTTTTTTTTTTAATCCTTAACATATATGAATATGACTCTCTAATATACATAATTACTTCTTCATCTCCTGCCCTAGAATGTAACTCCCACAAAGTTGCAAATGTCCTGTCTTGAGACATTCTGTTCCTCGCTGAGCCCAGAACACAGCAAGACCTCGGTAAAGCTTTACTGTGGGAATGGATGGGTTTCCAAGAGAAGTGTCAGGTTGCAGGATTTAGTGTTCTCGTGTCTGGCCAGCGAGCCTGGAGTCTGCTGCTGCCTCTGCCTCAGGCTATGCCCACCCTTGAACCTGTTCCGCATCTGGATATGAGACTACAGTGATCCTGGGCCATAACCAGAAAGACAAGGTCAGGCTGAGACCGGAAACTAAGAATGGCCTCCCTGTTAGTCCCCGGGAGCTTCCCTGGGGAAGATGGGAGACAGAGAAGACTGAGTTGAGCCAGCCCTTCTGGCCTATCTGGAATCGAGGCTCCCTTCATCCAAGTACATATCCAAGCTCCTGGTCTCTTGGAGGTGGAGGCACGCTCAGCGAGAGTGCTGGGCTGGGATCCAAAGCAGACAGGGCAAACACATGCTAGCTGGATGGTGGGTCTCACCTGCTGCATGACGTCCCGTCTCTGGTTCATGGCAGCCAGGCAGCGGAGAATCAGCTTCGTGGCTTCAGTCTTTCCAGAGCCACTCTCCCCACTGGCCGAACACGGGGCCAGAATGTCAGCACTCCTCCCCCTCTCCATGTCCACTCCAACCCAGGAGCCATGCAGTGGGCCAGAGGTACCCAGCGCTCTTTCCGGGGCTCATTAGGCCTGTATCTAGATGCCTGGCTGCAAACCTACACCCAAGGTGTCCCTATTTGTCCCCAATCCGAGCACAGCCTGGCTCACCTGATGATGACACACTGGTTCTGTTTGGCATCAAGCATTTTGGCGAAGGCGAGATTAGCAATTGCAAAGAGGTGCCTGGTGAGATAGGTCATTACGTGGCACTCTCTCTGACAGTCAGTTTCCACAGACCCAAGACTGCCAGAGGTTGGGGGGAGTAACTCTGTCCAGCCAAGCAGCCAATGCTGCCCACCCTTCCCCCTTGGTGAGAGCCACAGTGGCCTCCAGAGGGGACTGTGCCATGCCTGGCGGGAGACCGAGCTGAGTGGCGGGTTGCCTGCGTCTACCCACTCTAACTCGTGGCTGAAAGGCATCCAGGGGCTCCCCAAGATCGGAAACGGACCTGGAACACCTCAGGCCAACCCCATTCCCATCCCATAGATACTCACGGGGGATTCTCTCCCAGGGCACGCCCACTGTACTGCTGCACCTGCTCTGGCCCATAGATGGAAAACATTTGGTATGGGTTCACCGACACCAGAATGCTGCCGATATAGGTCTGCTGATAGACAATGACATCAGTGCCATGGTTGACACGGCCGTCTGTGGTCCCCTCTTCATGCTTTTGAGCAAGGAGTCCCTTTCCAATGGGACATATGTCTGGCTGCCCTGCTGCATTGTCTAGCCCTACGTAGCCCAAGAGGGACTGTGCTCTAATGGAGACTCAAGCTCTGCACAGGCTGAAGGTGTGACTGTGGCCTCAATCAGGCCAAGATGTAACCTCCTGCCCACCTCATTTATTCACGGTCAGGCCCAGGCTGCAGGCATTTCTGTCCCATGCCAAGGTAAGCCACCACAGTCTAGAACTGGGAAGCAGGGAGCCCATGTGTCCTGAAGCCATGAAAGCCCTTACAGGTATACATGGCTTTTGGAAGTGGCTCCAGGCCACTTCTGACCAGCTATGAGGCAGTCCTTGTAGCTCTGGGGTCGCAGATTCTCTTCCATCTTTTAACGACATCTAGTCTAGAATCCAATCAGGTCTTTGGGTCAGCAAGCCCCAGACTTACATAGATGAGGTTTCGTTCAAATCTGGTCTTTAGGTTGGATAGCACAGTGGTCTCTTGGAGGTCTCTGGAAGGACATGAAGGGAATGTGAGGATCCCCAGCCTGGCACAGACTCCCCCCTATTGGCATGGTGTCTTGGTCAAATGTGTCTGGAATCAAGCTCATTTCTGCCACTGACTAGCTATGGGTCTTGGGCAAGATAGTTCATCTTGTGCCTCAGTTTCTTCATCTGTCCAATGGAGTGGCAAACATCACACCCACTTTCTGGGACCCTGGTGGACACTGGGGCCGAACACCTAAGGCTGGATTACCGTGGTTGGAGAGCTTTAGGGATTCCAAACACCTGCCGGCATTTTCACAGCCGCTGCTCATATCTCTCGGATGAGAAAGTGAGGTGCAGGGTGAGAAATGATACGTCCACGGCTGCCTAGCTAGTCAGTGGGATGGCTGGGATCTGAACCAATGACTGTCTAAGTCACAGAGCGTTGACTTGTACATGTCCGGCTTCTGTGACACTTGATGACACCCCTTGCAAACGGGGAAACTGAGGCTCTGGAAATGTCCAGGGCGGCAGACAGCCTGGCACCGAGGCTGGGAGTATAGGGATCCCTACCAGGACTCCTTCCTCGCCCTGCCCACTTACTCCAGCTGGGTCATGTCCTCCACACCGTCTTCCCTGCGCTGCTGGCGGGACCGCACGGAGGGCAGGTTGCGGATGGAGTGCATCTGTGAGAGAGGGGTGGGGCACAAACTGGAGGCCTGGGTAGACCCCGGCTTGGACTCACCAGGCTCCTGTTCCCACTGTCAGAGCGGAGCTTTAAGATTAGATACCGGAAGTCTTTTGGCCTCCCTGCCTGAGAGTGCACATAGGTCTGTGTGTAAAGCATCCTGGGTGAGCGTGCCTGTGAGCCACAAGTGTCCTGCTGGGGATTGAGCACACACAGACATGTTCACTACCACACACACGAGTCGGCCCCCTTCCTACTTCTGTCCTCTCAGCGTCCCTACCCTGCTCCCCACAGGCTTGTGTGACGGCTTAAAATGGGCATTTGCGTGTCAACGCGTGAGGCAAAGGTGGAGGTTTGTCCCAGGATGGACCCAGCTCCTGCCTAGGGTAAGTGTGTAGATACTGCGCATGCACCTCCTGGAGCGGCCCTGCGGGTCTCACAGCTCGCATGCGTATCTGTGGTCTCAGGATGCTGTGGCTATGCGCAGGTCCACGTGCTTGGCTGAGGGCGGACACTTAGGTGCTCTCAAGGCGAACTTGGCATGTGCCTGTGGGCAGCTGCCAGGGTCCTCTCACCTTAAGGATCCTGAGTGTGGGAGCCCTGATGTCAGCTTGGGGCTGAGGGATCGTCATAGTACCCATTATGTGTGCCTAGGTATGTGCTCGCTCAAAGGGTACACCTTTGAGAGCGCGCACCTCCGTGGCTGCCACGTCTGCTCAGACTGGTCACGTGCCTGCTCTCCTGGGGTTAGTCACCCATGCACGTTCACTGCAAGGACCTGCAAGGCTCTGTGTAACTGTGAGCACACACACGTGCAGCCTTGGCCTTGCACCCCGGGGCACCCTCCCCTAGGCAAGGAAAGAGGATACAAGAGGGCCTGCGTCCTGCGCGCCCTCGCTCTGTTAAGTAGGGCGCAGCCGGTATCAACCCTCCCGGCCCTGGCCTCCAGCCCACCCATCTGCTCACGTGCTTGCCAGCGGCCACAGACCCTGAATAATTCAGCCACTCACGTATTCCAGGGTGAGGAGGGCCCAGGCATCCTTGCCCCGCACCCCTGGGCACCCTGTGCCCCGCTCCCGTAATGCTGCCGCCCACACAGCACGGGGCACCCGTCGTCGGGGCCAGGGTCCCCCCAGCAGCCAGGCTGCCCCCGTTGCCATTGCCGAGCCAGCCTGCTGCCCGCCCTGCGGGGCACGGTCTGCAGAGGGGCAGAGTACCGCCTATCACATCTTGCCCCGCCCATTCTAGGTGTCTCCAGGGAGGCTAGGGTGATCACCCACCTCCTCCAAGGGCCACCTAGCATCCAGCTCACCTTCCACCACGTATGTGGCAGCCAGTCATGGACTAGGGCTCCCTGAGACAGGCTGCCTGCCTATACCCCACAGACTACAGGCTTCTGGGCCTCAGTTTCCCCTGCTCGGCAACAAGCAAGTCAGAAAGTAGGCTCCTGTGCCTCCATCCACATACTGCTCCCTTCATCTAGGGCCTGTCTATGCTGAGCACTCCTCTGTTCCTCCCTCAGATGGATGCCCTGCAAGGTCCAGTCAGTCCAGCCCCTCCCCCACTTCAAAGGGGAGATGGAGGTCCATGTAGCCTGCCACTTAACCAAGGCCACCCATGACTCCTCAGGCCACCTCCCATTCTGGCTCCTAGACCAGAACTGCCAACCCCACCCTCTGACTTGTGCCTTCATACCTTGTTCTGGAAGCTTTGGGAGCCAATCTTTTTCCAGGGGCCCTTGTGGGACAGGTAGTCACCTCCACAGCCCAGGAGATGGGACTGAAAAGAGTGGGTATGAACTCGTGGCCAGGGGCAGTGGGCATCTGCTGGGGGGCAAAGGTGGGGCCAGCGTAGACTACAGGTTTGGGGCCCTGGGCCATGCTCTAGGTCTTGGTCTGGACGCTCCGGAGGCTGCAGAGGAGCGGGCTTTTTTTGCTGGAACGAGCTCAGCCCTCGCACCTGAGGCATGACGATGGCAAACCGCCCTGGTGCAGCCTTAGGCTGCTCACCAGCCTTGAGCAAAGACCCTGGGGCTCTGGTGGGGCCCAAGGGAGCTGGGGCCCTAGACAGTGTCTTCCAGCGGCGCCATGGTGGCCACGTAGCCCTTGTCTGCTTACATGTGACCAGTGGGTATGAGGCACTGGCTCGTAAAGCCTTCCCCTCTGAGCCCTCATTTTCCTTGGGAGGTTCTGGGTTCAGGGTCTCAGGCTCAGCTGGTGGCGGAGGGTCCCCTGGGGTGACCACTTCTTCAGGATTCTCCAAGCTGGGGCTGGCTGACTCAGTGAGATGCCCAGGCCCTGGTTCGTGGTGTTGGCCCAGGAAGATACCAGTTAAATTGGAGGCCTGGTCCTCAGGCTGTGGTTCATGTGCAGGGCTCACGTGCTCCAGCAACGGGTTTTCAGGCACTGGAGGGGGCCTGGGGAAGCCTCTAAGGCTGCCTACACCGTCTGGCCACGGAGAAGGTGGGCGCTGTGTAGGAGGCATTTCCACATCCCAGCTGGGGGCCAGTGGGGGCACTGTCCAGGGTGTCTCGGAGTCGTCCAGTTCACGCTGGTTCTCTTGCTGCTCCAACGACCCCGTGGTTGGGCCCCAGGGCCCAGTACTGGGTGGTGGGTGGTAGGCCCTATGTACCCAGGGCTTCACAGCCCGGGTCGGTGGTTCGCTGAGGCGCCGCCAGGTCCGTGGAAGGCGGGAGGGCAGGTTGAGGGACCGGTGCCGTGGGCCGTGGCTCAGGGGTGGAGGCGGTGAGGGTGGTCGTGGAGAACCTAGCACTGGTGAGTAGTGTGGGCCCAGGCGCCTGGAGGCTCGACGAGGGGGGAAAGTCTCCCGAAGCGAGTGAGGCCTGCGAGGAGGGGGTGGGAAGGGTGGCTGGAAGGGGCCCCTTCGCTGGGATAACTGAGGCGACAAGGGCCCCAGTGGCGAATGGTAACCCTGGCCTGGCAGGCTCCTAAGAGAGTGCTGGGGTGAGGGCAGATGGGGCCTTCTCCTTGACCCTATCAGGGAAGCTCTAGGGAAGCCAAAAGCTGGCCCCCGACTTCGGGAGGCCCTGAATGAGGGCTGGGGTACAGGAAAGGCCAGAAGGTCAGGGGCAACCTCAGGGCTGGTTCGAGGGGGCTCAGCAAAGCCCCACCAATTTGCTTGGGGTGTAAAGGGCACATGAGCTGGGGCAGCCCAAGGTGGCGGATGTCGGCGGAGGGAGCCGTAGGGTGAGCTGTAGGGGGAAGCCAGCCTTGGAGGCCTGGACAGGTTGGGCGAGAAGGGCGGGGCCCGTGGTGACCCGGAGCTGGAAGAAGGCCCCGGCACTGGAGGGGAGATGAGCGCGCTCCAGTGGGTAAGGGTTCGTGGTGCCAGCCTGGGTGAGGGCGGGCCGTGGGAGTTGTTGTTGTTGCGAGCCTGAGGCTGACTGCGCCTCAGCACGATGGGCGTGTTGGGCCGATCGGGGTCCATGCCGGCCAGCTTGTAGCCAAAGCGTTTATAGGCTGCCTCCCTGACTTGGGGCCGCCCCCCTCGGGCCTTCTGGCTGCTCCTGAGTCGTGGAATGGGCTTCTTTTCTGACAGTGTCTTTTTTAGGAACCGTGCCAGTGAGGTGGCTGGCCGTGGTGTTGGGTGGCCAAAGTCAGGCCCAAAGCCTAGGCCTTGGCGGGCACGGAAGGCTGACAGGGCCCGCTGCAGGTTTCGCTGGCGTGGCGTGAGGAAGCTCCAGTAAGGGTGGGTATAAGGAATGGCGGGCACTGGAGGCATCTCCTCCTCTTCCTCCTCTCCCTCTGCATCCCCTAGAGGCAGAGGAATGTCGAGGGAGGGTGGCAGGGGCACCTCCAGCTTCTCCTTCCCGAACAGCTTCACCTGAGGCCTCGGGAAGAGGCGGAACTTCCGGATGAGGGACAGCTTGGATCTGGCCGGCTTGTCCATGCCTTGCTGCTCGAAAAAGGAGGCACTGGGCAGGCGGAAGGAGGTGCTCTGCCGTTCTCCCCCCACTTCCTCAGGCTCCTCCAGCTCCGCAATGTCATCCATGGGGTGGGCATACGGGTTGTGGGGTGACAATATGGGTGGGGGCACCCAGGGGTACATGAGAGCTGGCTCTTCTGGATATACATAGGGCACCCCGGGGGGGTAGATGGCCTCGGCCCCACCGCCATAGACGCCTTCAGCATAGGGAACCCCATAGGGATCAAAGTAGGGTACATCATAAGGGGTGTCATACGGAAAGTCGTAGGGTGGGTACGGCACGTGGTGAGGGGCATAGGGATCCAGGTAGTAGCTGTATGGGTAGGCCTCATCCTCAAAGCTGTCATGGTAGCTGTAAGGAGATGAATACCCCGAGGGGGGCGCATATGGGGGCTCAAAATCGTCATAGCCGTAGCCGTAGCCGGGGTACAGGGTGTCGTAGTAGTCGGGGTGGTAGTAGCTGTACGGGTCTCCGGATGGGTACCCGTAATCATCATAGGGTGGCCAGGCTGGGCTGTAGGCCCCGAAGCCAGCCCAGGAAGGCTCCTGCTCCTCGTAGCGGTGCAGCGACTGCTGGTCGTAATAGTCGTCGCCCTCCCGGTGGTAATCATAGTATTCACCCAGGTCCTGGAAGCCCTCGAGCCCATACAGGGACTTGCGGGAGCGTGCATGCCGGAACGGGGCCTCGTCCTCAAAGGGAAGGAAGCCCACGGGCTCCCCGGAGGAGTAGATGCTGTGGCTGCGGGGGAACCTGCGGAGCCGGCCTCCGTGCCGCAGGATCTCAGCGCCGGAAGGGAAGGGCAGCTTCCGGGAGCCCACGCGCGAGCTTGAGCCCTGGAGCCAGGCGTCCACGGTGGCCTGCTGGCTGCCCGACTCCTCGGCCTTCTTGAGGAGGAACTTCTTGGTCAGCCAGTTAATAGCTGTGGACGCCTTGCTAAGCGACTGGGCACGAGGCTTCAGGCGGCCGTAGCCACGCCGTCCCGGGAAGCGGATCACCATGAACGAGGGCTTCTTCCCCTTCATCGCCCGCTTCTTTTTGCCCACACGCATCTGCGTCATGAGCTTGGATGTGGACTTGAGAACAGTACGGGCCTTCTTCTTGCGTTTGGTCTTCTGTGGGCCAGTGTGGAGGCCCCAGAAGAAGGCTGACGCACTCCGGAACTGACCCTTCTTGGAGATCTTGGGCGTGCGGTCTCGGAAGCCCATGAACAGCCGAGATGTGCCCTTTAGGCTCCGTTTGGGTTTCTCAGGCTCCGGGGCCTTCTTACCCTTTTTTCCTTTCTTAGCTTTCTTCTCCTCATCTTCCTCTTTCGCCATGGTGGCCTCTGTGTCCGATGGGCCTGGGGCAGGTGTCACACGTTCAGGGACTTGGAGACACTGCTTTGAGACTGGCTAGATCTTCTCGCGTGCTGCAGGACCTACAGTCTCTCCTCAGTGACTGAGCAGCTGGGACTGACTGGGTGGCATGGAGAGGAAGGATCCATAATTCATCCTCTAGACCAGCCTTGGGTTTCACCTTTGAGAGGTGGTGGAAAGTGCTTGGGTGTTGTTTTCTAGTGTGGGTAGACTGGGAGGCCTGTGCTGGGGCAGCAGGCTGGCTTTAGAGTCACCATGGCAACAACTTGGTGCCTCTGGCCAAGCCCTCCTGTGTCCCAGCTGGCTAAGCTTTACAGAGCAGGACATTAATCTCCAGAGGAAGATGTCATCTGCCCTGGACACCTTGCACGGGCCCAAAGTGGAGTCAGGTCTCCAGAGGCCAGGATAGGATACTCACAACCCACCACAGCACCTTGGAGAGGAACTGGAAGTGAGAGGCAGGTGCCCAGGGCTGTGGCCAGTGTGTAACAGGAGTGGGCCAACTCCAGGGAGCTGAATAATGCATCAGGGAGAGCCCAGATGCTGCCGCCCCATAGAGGAGGTCATGGGGAGGGGCAGGGGATGGAGGAACAAAAAGAATGCATGGCCCAGCCCTTCATTGCTGTCTTTGGTGGACTATGTAGCCTCAGGAAAGCCCTTTGCCCTCTTAGGTGCTGTGACTTCCTCTTCTGTAGAATGGGAGACAGGAAAAAGGAAGATCTAATGGACTGCTGGGCGGGTTAAGACGCAGGAAAGGCCTCTGGTAGTTCCTTACCACTTGCAAACCCATGCTATTGGGGGTGTGAAGCCAGGAGGCTCATTCCGGCCTTGGATCTGATCCACAGCAGTTCACAAACTCTGGAGTGGGGGGGGGGGGGGGGGGAGGAGGAGGAGGAGGAGGAGGAGGAGGCCCCTTACTAAATGAACCTGTGTAGTGACCCGTGTTAGTGGAATGCTAATTAGCCACGGAGTTGTTTGCCTCTGCCCTGAGAACTGCCCTATACACTGCCCAACAACAAGACTAACACTGGGGACCCTCACCTAAAAGTTAGAGGACATTCCTAGACCGATAGCTTCCTTCTGCAGGCAGATTCTGTAGTGTGTGGACACCTAGGATCCCTATAAGCTACAGTGGCTATGACAATGATGGTAGACAGTTGGATTTAATCAAATGTTCCATTGTCAAAGATATAAACATCTTCTGATGTCTGCCGACAGCTTCTCAAGGTAAATGGAGGCAGTTCCACCCAGACTAAAAGAACTCTGTGCTATTCCCTAAAGGAAGAACTGCCCGAGTCTCCATAGCTTCAAGGACATCTTAGGAAAAAGGCCACTTATACCCGTGAACTAATGAACTTTCTCTTTAAAGAAAATAAGTCTGACCTTTCATTTATTTATTTATTATGTATACAGTGTTCTGTTTGCATGTGCACCTGCATGCCAGAAGATCTCATTATAGATGGTTGTGAGCCACCATATGGTTTCTGGGAATTGAACTCAGGACCTCTAGGAAGAGCAGACAGTGCTTTTAACCTCTGAGCCCTCTCTCCAGCTCAAGTCTGACCTTCTTAAAAAGATAGGCCCTACTTACAAATCTATCAGTAGCTATAACTTTTTAAAAAATAATTTAATTTTTATGTGCTTTAGTGTGAAGGTGTCAGATCCCTTGGAATTGGTGTTACAGTCAGTTGTGAGCTGACATGTGGGTGCTGGGAATTGAACCCGGGTCCTTTGGAAGAGCAGACAGTGGTCTTAACCACTGAGCCATCTCTAAGTTATATGTTGGTTTTCATCATTTTTCTTTACGCATTGGTGGTATGATACGTATATTCAATGATTATATCATCATACTCTTTTGCTTTTAACTTATTCCACCATTGAATTCTTCCTTTAAAATTTTTAAGACTTATTTTTTATACAGCATGCTGCCTACATGTATACCGACATGTCAGAAGAGGACACCGGATCTCTTTATAGGTGGTTTGCTGGAAATTGAACCCAGGAATTTTGGAAGAACAGTCATTGCTCTTAACCTGTGTGCCATCTCTCCAGCAGCCTTAGAAAGAGATTTTAAACAGTCCTTGAGCTGGAGGGGTGGCTCAGTCACTAAGAGCACTGGCTGCTTGCTCTTCCAGAGGACCTGGGTTCAATTTCCAGGTCCCATATGGTAGCTCACACCATTTGTAACTCCTCTTGGGGATCTGACACCCTCTTCTGGCCTGTGGGCACCAGGCATGTAAGCAGTGCACAGACATATAATCAGGCAAAATACCCATTAAGTATACGCAGTCAAAACATTCATACACGTAAAATTAAAAAAAAAATGTTTATGGATCATTGTCCTTCATCACCATGCAAAAGATGTCTGGGATCATGGCTTCATAGTTATTGCAGGAAAGTAGGGCAAAGGGTGAAATTAATGTTAGCAGTGGTGGCAGACGCCTTTAATCCCAGCATTTGGGAGGCAGAGGCAGGCAAATCTCTGAGTTCGAGGCCAGCTGGTCTACAGAGCTCGAGGACAGCCAAGCCTACACAGAGAAACGCTGTCTCAAAAGGCGAGCAGGCAAACAACAAACAAAATCCCAAACCAAAAATAAAAACAGCCCACATTAAGCTCCACAGTGGTGACACATGTACTCCAGCAAATGGGGACACAGAGGCAGGTAAATCTCAGTGAGTTCCAGGCCAGCCTGGTCTACAGAGCGAGTTCTAGGAGAGCCAGAACTGTTATGCAGAGAAACTGTTAACCACCCTCCCCACACACACCAAGAAAACAAACAAAGCCACATTGAGACACCAGACTGAAAATACTCCCTGTCAAGGCCAACCTGTCCTGATGTACAAAACGAGCACTTTACAAAGGACCTGCAAAGGCTCCAGCGGACGGGGCACAGGGACCACCAAGCTGCGGACCTTTCTCCCCAGTCTAGTCCACTTCCTCCCTTGCAAATGCTTTCTTTACCATAACCATTTCTACTTGTACCACTCTCCTCACCTCCCTGTCCAGTTCAAGGAGTCAGCAATATAGAAATCCCAGCAGGACCTCCGTACTCACCTAGAACCCGGAGGTGGAGGAAGATCAGACCTTGAAGGTCATCCTGGGCTGTATGAGACCTTCTCCCTCTACCCTCACCTCAGAAAACCAACAGCAGGCTAAACTGCCCACCAAACATACTACTGGTTTCTCTTTTACTCACTCGGGAGGCAGAGGCAGGTGGATCTCTGTAAGTTTGAGGTCAGCCTGGTCTACAGAGTGAGTTCAAGGACAGCCAGGGCTACAGAGAAACCCTATCTCAAAAAAAAAAAAAAAAAAAAAAAAAGTTAATCCAAGAGCCTGTCAATCACTGGACAGACTAGCCCGAAAGGTGATATTCCTGAAGACATGTTACAGAAGCGGGAGAATGATTATCTCCTAATGCACACACACCCCTTCTGTGGCAGATTGCTTACAGAATTGTTTTAAGCTTTTATTCGTTTATTTATTGTGTGTACGTGTGCAGGTCAGAAGACGGCTTCAGTTGGACTTTTCTCTTCTTCCACTGTGTGGGACCTGAGGCTAGGGCCTAGGTTATCAGGCTTGGCAACAGGCACTTTACCTGCCGAACCAGCTTGCTGGCCCCAGATCCTTACTTCTAAGCCTGCCTGCTTAGTGTCAAGTTAGGGCTGTTAGTGGCTGAGTGGCTAAATCGAACTCGGCTCTTACAGAGGACCCAGGTTCCCAGCCCCCACATGACGCCTCACAGCTGCCTGTAACTCCAACTCCAGGGGAATGTGATACCTTTGACGTCTGTGGGCCCTTCACTCATGCATAAATACACATAATTAAAAATAGTATATTTATATTTATAGATTTTGAGGCTGAGAGATGGTCCAGTGGATAAAATGGTTGCTGTGTAAGCATAAGGACCTAAGTTGGGGATCTTCAGCACCCACATAGAAACAGGGTACAGCGGTGTGTCTGTGTTGGGGGGTGGGGAGCAGAAACAGGCGGGTTATTCCTGCAGCTTCTGGCCAGCCATTCAAGATGAAACAGTGAGCTTCAGAATCAGTAAAAGGTCCTAAGATAATAAGGTGGACAGGGCCAGAAGACCCCCACGCCACTCTGTGTTCCACATACCTGCAGGCCAGCATATGCAAATACATCTGTGTGCACCCAGACACAAAAGTGTAGCTTTCCTTCTGTCTGTCTGGGTAAAGCCTGCTTGACCACCCATTCTCTATGCCTTTTTGTTTTGTTTTGAGACATGGTCTATGTAGCCCAGGCTAGTCTTGCACCCAGAGATTTGTTTGTCTCTGCTTCCCAAGAGCTGGGATTGTGCACCACCGAGCCCAGCCTCACCCATTCTTTCTGAAGACCATCTACTTGTGCAGCTGTCTGCAGACTTCCACTGTAGAGCATACCTGCTTTACTTGCAACTCAAACCATGACTTTATTTTAACCCCCTCCCTTCAACAGTTGCAGTCCCAGCTAACTCTGTTTCTCTCTCGAACGTCAATCCAATGACCCTTGGCCTTTCTCCTGAGTCTTTTCTTTTGTGAGACTGCATACCTGCAAAAGGGGACCTGAGAACGAGGGAGGAAAAGCAGGCTTTCAAAAGGAGACAGAGGGCTGCAACCAGCTGTGTTGAGTCTGGCAAAGCCAAGAAGGCATGGCTTAAATACAGTTTCACCACATGTGCTACCAGGAGCTGTTTGGTGGAGAGACTGATGTGTGAGGCAACCGTACCTGGGAAACTAAGTCTTGAAAGGGAGGTGGACAAAAGAGAAGATAGCTCGGGACACTTAACCTTAAGGGTGAAGGAACACAGGGAGGATACTTGGGAACATAGCAAAAAAGGAGCCTTTTGTAGCTTCCTCTCTCTGTAGGAGGCAGAAACAAGCAGCTTCTCTCACTCAGACTTCGGCCTTGGGTCTCTAGGATTTTGAGAACTTTGTCAGTGGCGTTTTTTGTCATGGCAACC